CTGGCCATGCCGGACCCTAGACAGTAAGACATGCATCGTTATCATTGTGTTTAAGTTTGTTTGTTTTTATTGGGAATATTTTCTTAAAGTTTTTTTGTTTTCTATTGAAATACTATGCCAAAATCTGTAAATATTTTTGAGGATATCTTTCACACCAAAACTTGGATAGTGAATGTGAAGGAACAGTAAATGTAAAAGTTTTTGACCGTTTTGTTTAAGCAAAAAAATTAAGAACTTTTAGAGATTTTCTACAATAAAGAAAACAAACAAACATGAACTTAATATTTATAATATTCCATTTCGGAAAAAAAAAAACTTCTAGTGGCATTAATCACAACAAGACTTTTTAGTATGTCGGTAATGTTTTGTTTTCTATTCTATCATTACTCGCTACGGCCCATGTGCAATTGTTAATGAGACAGTGGCGTATACCTCAACGTGCTGAATCTTTTTTTTTTACCTTAAGTTATTGTTCGCTTAGTGCAAGGCTACGTAATGGGCCATATGCACTCTCTCCACCGTATAGAATCGAACTCCGGATTTTAGCATTGTAAGTTCATAAACCTACCGCTGACCAACCGTGAGGGGGACTTTTACCTTAATCATAAATTAAAACTGCAACTATTTGTTAATTATCATCATACTAAACACATTCATCTTTATTACATTTTTAGACATTGAGAATACAGTACAAGAACGTTATAGATATATTGTTCACTGCTCACGAGAGTAGCTTGTCACATAATTGAGGAAAAAAGTTTTTTATTTGTTTTGTTTTGTCTTCTTAGTGTAACACCTTACCTTTTAGAGCACAATTAAATTATCCGTACCATAGATGTCCCCCAATTAGTCAGCAGTAACTTTACAGAATTACAATGCTAAAATCACGGACTAGATTCCCACCGGGCCCGGCATGGCCAGGTGGTTAGGACGCTCGATTCGCAATCTGCGTATCGCAGGTTCGAATCCCCGTCCCACCAAACATGCTCGCCCTTTCAGCCCTGGGGGAGTTATAATGTAACGGTCAATCCCACTATTCGTTGGTAAAAGAGTAGCCCAAGAGATGGCGGTGGGTGGTGAAGACTAGCTGCCTTCCCTCTAGTCTTACACTACTAAATTAGGGACGGCTAGCGCAGATAGCCTTCGTGTAGCTTTGCGCGAAATTCAAAAAACAAAACAAACAAACAGATTCCCACGGTAGAGCATATTGCAGATAGCCCTATTGTGGAGTTTTACGCTAACAACAAAAACAAGACCATCATAGATAGACTTTTATTTAACAATTTTTATTCATTCGTGTACGTTTAGTATTTGGAGTCGTTAAAATAATATAAAGAAATCTTACATCTGTGTAAGTTATAAACAAGAACATACTGTGAATAGTGTCACGTTTTTCTTATCACAAAGAACATTTATTACGTGACCAGGAAAAAATATTGACTCGTTTGGCTGGTGATTCATGTTCGCCTCCGGTTAAATAAAGATTAGAGATCTAACTTGGAAACAATAAATATGTTAATATATAGAAAAATTATAAAGTAAGCAATTGAGAAAAAAGTTATCACAATTCAAGTTCAAAAGGTGCAATACAGCATCCCCTCTCACGTCATTCCTTAGATATTTGTTTTAGATTAATACATTTATAGTATGCCAGCTCAGATGATGAAGTACACTTTTGATGGTATATTTCATTAATGCTTGGCATCCATGCTAAAAATGTTCTTTGGGGTCTGACGAACATCGCTAAAATGAATGTCACGCATGTATTTTTTAGTTAAAGTCACTGAGAAATCAAAGGTCGAATTAGTGCATCATCTAGTTGAAAATATAAGTAATGTGATATTGCTGTAGATATACCTAGTAGGTTGTATTTTTATGGTTGAATTAATGGATACGAAATATAAAATTGGCTTCCAGATTAGGAAAAGAATTTGTTAAATTTATCATTTACAATTTATAATCAGTGTTGTCTAACGCTTTTTCACCATCCTCAAGCAGTAACAGGCCTTCACAAGAAGCCAAAGGAAAAGTAAAAGCTATCTGGCATAACTTTTCCTACGTGTTTCTTTCCAAAAGTCACAATGTCCTGGTGCTTCTCGGAGATCAGCCCATAACTTCATTGCAACATGAACCATCTCTTGGAAGAGGCTAGGCATTCGAAACTTGAAAACTTGATTATTTCTCTGACTTTAAGTTGGGAAATACCTCCCTCTTAGCAGCTTTTGTTAGTGTGTTTCGAATTGTCAAAAGTCAGATTTGTCTTCTGCATACTTCAGAAGGAATGTTTTAGAGCCCAATGACGGAACAAAATTAGCTTTTATAGTCAAGTGTCTTTTTTTATATTTTCATGAAATGATTGCCTCCTTAATAAATATCTTTGAGGTATTTCTAGCTCATGTTTTCGTAGGATTTGTAGATACTTGTCTCAGATATTTCTCACATCATATACATCGCCAAGGTCTAGACCTTTTCAAGAGCTATGCACAACTGTCTCATAACAGGCTCCTTTCCAATTGCTACGGCGCTGAATATCTTCTTCATATCGAACGAGACATTAAAGGCAATATTTGCTTTCAGCTGCAATTAGAAAGTCGCAATATCTTAACAGAATCCACTGTTACAAAAGATAATATTTATTAAACTTCCTCAAACATTATGGACCACTTTTTTTTCGTTCTTTTGGTATAACACACACTTTTCCCAATCGACTGAGTCAGCTCTTTAGCGGTGTCACGTTGTTTTTGCATGAGTCTTATTTTCTTAACAACAAAATTCTTCTGTGTCTATTCAGTGTTTACAGATGCGAAAGAACTGTAACATACATGCCACTTGATACAATGACTCTTCCATATTTTTCTTATATTGTATCAAGTCTGTCTAAGACGGTCACATTTGAAATATTCCCGAGTTTCCTTCGTGTCTCCAAACATTCCTGTACTATTAATTTACCTTCATTTGATGCCTGCCTTAAAGTTTCTTTTCTCGAGTCTTGGCAGAATATGAGGTATTTCGAGTAGACTTTTTTTTTTCAGAACAACCAAATGCATCTTACTATTTCATTTATTCACAAACTATAAAAGACAAAACAGTTCTTGCCTGTGTACTTCAAATTATTTAACAGTATGTTGAATATCTGTTGGTATATAAAACAATGGAAATAACTGAACCATTTTGGAAAAAAACATTGCAGGTTATAATTATGTATTGAGTTTCTTATATTCAACACAAATCTTAATCTATGGATCATTTTTGACTTGTATCATAAGTAATTCACACTTCTATTTTATATATGTATTACTTTTATCAATATTTCAGTCATCAATAATTCTAATGCAATCAGAACTAAACTATTCTGTAAAAAAAATAGCTTTCTCTAAGAGCCGAGTTTAGAAATATTTCATAATTTGACTGTTCAAGTAAATAAAGAAAATATTTATCAAAACAATTATTGCTAAAGTTCTTTAGTTTTTCATTGAATTGTGAATTTATGAAAAAGAAAACAAAAATTTGCATTTCTTACAGTCCCAGTTATTTAAGTCATTTAAGTTACATGTATGTTTCAAAAAAGGCATAGAGTAGACTGCCATATTAATGATACTTTACGACCTTCATTTACCGTTTTATTTGCATTAACTCATAAACAATAGATGTACAAGATTATTTTCCGGCTCTGGAATAAAATTCTGTAATTTACACCATCATACCTCAAGTACAAAATACGTTTTAGTACATATTGCTAGCATGAATTGGTATTAGTATATTTCTGAACTAGAAAATGCATTAATTTGAGTTCTGTCCTCTCAGTGACTTTAAATCAAAAATACATGCGTGGCATACGGTCCAGTAACATTTGTCATACCCCATAACACATTTTTAGCTTGGATGCCAAATATTAGCATAAAGTGGCACTAAAATTTTGTTTAAACACTTTTTAGAGGAAGCATTTGTAGACTATTCTATTATCGTTAGTTCTTTGTTCTTTCTTTGATAAATGTAAATTAAATAAAATATAGTTTTTAATATAAAGGAACAAAAAAACAAAACCGATTTTATTTTCAAAGGACGAATGTTAATTTGAAAATCAAAGAAACCGGTAACTCGACATAATGTTTCTTCATTTAGAACTAAAAGTCATAAATTTGTCAACTGCAAATCTTATAAAGATGATTTCTTACGTATATTTGGAACAAAGAAAGAAGCTTAATTAAGTTTTTTTATTTGTGAGGGACAAAGAGCAGTATATATATATATGTGTGTATCTGTGTGTGTGTGTGTATATATATATATATATATATATAAACATTTTACAAGCTCATATACCTTTTCTCTACAGTGCATCAAACATAATGATCTAGTTGGAAAGAATCACATGCTTGGCAACTGAATGTTACTGATATAAATGGAAAAGGGGGGGGGGGGTATCTTTGTTACGACACTTTATGACAAGATAAATGAGTGCAAGTTGTAAATAACAAAGAAACTGTCAGAGAATCGCTTCTGGCAAATGCCAGAATATCTTGGAATTAATTATGAAAATAATTTCACATTCCTTTTATTAATTCCGCGATAGTGCTTAGTTTATTCTGAAAATTTTTAACAATGAAAGTTTTAGTTAAATGATGAGAAACAAAACTTAGTATTCAGCTAGTCGTGGTGTGTACGAGTTTTTTATACAAAATGTATTTACATTATATAGTGTTGTAATTTAACATGTACTTCAGTTCTGTTTGTGATTTGTATAAAAAACAATATACACTCAACACATGATGTATAAACTAAAAGTTATTTTGAAAAAAAAATATTTAATGTCAGTTTTAATGTTTGCTTCTTCAAACGATACTTATTGGAAATTATATTTTCACCTTCAAACTTTTTAATGGATAATGTTCTGTATTTTATCATTTCAATGTCATTCTTTAATACATAAGGTATGATTAATTTGATTGGCGTTAAATAAACTGTAATAACAAGCAATTATTCATGTTGATTTGTTTCCCCAGGTCCTGCTATCCCCATGGATCCCTCAGAAGCCGCACAAGCCATATTTCCATCGATGGCCAGAGCTTTACAGAAGTACCTGAGGATAACACGACAGCAACCTCGACACACTATGCAGTCTATACTTGACCATTTAACTCTGAGTTTGACTCATGACCTTAGTCCCAAGGCTTTTCTGGAGAAGTATCTAACCCAAGTGCCGGTGCTACAAAATGATAATGAGCACACACCAGTTCAGACTTGGGCTCTGGTTTGTGATGTTCTTTTGTCTCGCCCTGTAGAACAGGGATGTGTCTTCATGTTACGACAGAATGATGTCTCTCTTCTCGTTTCGATTCATAGCTTACCGCACTTCAGCATTACAGAAGAAATTATCGATCCAAAGAGCAATAAATTTGTGTTAAGATTGAATTCGGAAACATCAGTGTAAACTGAGATATGATTAAACATACTCATTAAACTGTGTTTTACCTATGAAACATTTGTTCAGGTTTTTTTTTTCTACGTCAAGAAAATTTAATCGGGCCCTTTCCTCAGTTTTTATCGTGTTACAAAAAACAAGCTGAGGCAAG